TTATTTATTCATATTAACATCATTATTGGTTATATATTGATAAAAAAAAAACCCGAAAGACACAGTTTGTAAATATTTATTACAATAAAATATGAAAAAAGGTATTTTCCATTCTATGCGACGCGCCGAGCTTAGCTATAATTAAAATTCCCGCGCTAAGTCGCGGTGGTGCTTGGGATAATCACTTGATACTGTAAATGGCAGCCATTTTACGATACGAAAATGCCTGGCCCTCGGACAGTTTATCCTGCCGAAAAGATATGAAAAAATACTTGCAATTCAAAGTTTGCTTGCTACATAAAGATTATCGATTTACTCTTTGCACACTTTTTCTCTGCCTGAGTATAATAATATTGACGTGTTTTCATTGGCTTAAACCATCACGTTACCAATACACATGTAGGTGTGAACTAATTTCGTGTTTATTTAAATTATTCCGTTAATAGACATATAACAATCTTATTTACAAATGAATTGATAAAACAACATTCCCAGAAGCATTTAAGATAATAACATTCATTTGAAAAAATAAATGCATATAAATTTTAAATTTGTGTATGACAACTCACCCCCTAAACAAAACATAATAAACTCAACCAAAACAAGCGTCTGCTTCTTCACCTCATACTATGTAGTTGCATGACCATGATTAGGAATAGCAAACCAAATCTAAGAGATAAACCTATTGTAAAAATAATACTATGACCACAGCAGATTTCGTACACAAACAACAACATATATTTAGTCGCATTTAGTGAATTACTGGATTTTGAATACCATAAAAGAACACAAAAAAATAAAACGTTTGTAAAAGTATTTCTAAGGCATAATGGGCCTTTAAAATATCTGAAGTAGAATTTCATAAACATTTAAGACTCACTCTTTCTGGATCTTAGGCAGAACATATCAATAACTAGACCACACCAGTCCTAATAAAATTTAACCAGCGAACTTTCAGCGTTAGTACTATGTGATCTCCTATTTTTAACTCTCCTCTTATCAATTAAGCCTCGTTTTCAATGTCCCAGTCCAAACAATCTATATCAGATCTCTATTGTATTTAAGGTGGCCTAGTTTCCGAGTACAAATATTCATATCAAATCACTATTGTACTTCATCTGGCTTCGTTTTCATTTTCCGAGAGCAAACAGTTTCATATTAAACCCATACTGCACCACACCTAGACTCGTTTCCAATTTTTCGAATAAAAAAATCCATATCAAATCCGTATTGTACTCGAAGAAACAAAGTTCTGTCAAGACACAAAATGATGGGCGATGTGAAAAAAGAGATCATTATACATTTCAATTTATTAGTTCTATTGGGCTCGTTCTAAGAAAACACGGCTAGTGCATCGTCCACTAGGTTTTCAGTTATGTTCCAATATAGCGCAAATATAGCTTAATTTACTTTAAAATATGAAGCACAAGATCAACAAGAAAAGGCGACATTTAATGAACAAAGAATACCTCAGCAAAGGACCCCCAGCAGGACACCAAAAAGGACAGGGCACATTGGCGAACCCCGGACGGGAAGTCATTATAAATTATTAAATTATACAAAACAGGAAATGATTTTTTTTATCATAGAAACCTACAAGGTAATCACAGATGAAATCAATTAAAAAGCCTACAACAGGATAAGGGTGTAGGGGAAGGGGTCGGAAGGACTTGCAAAAGGGGAAATTAAAAAAAAAAGAAAGAATGCATCATGTCTTTCTAATTAGAAATTCTGTTAAGAGTTATTTCAAGATCCACGGGACTAGTGAGAATTTCGTCTTTGGGTAATCCGTACTTATGTGTGCGTGTGCGTGCGTGTTTGCATTTGTAGTGTTTTTCAATATTCTTTCAATTTACAGTTTCGAAAATATGTATATGTTTTTTCTTTAAAATGTCAACTTTTGCAAAGTCTTTTCAACTTTAAAGTAAAAGACATGCGTAATCAAGTTAAGGTATGACGCATGCGCTGAAAAACGGGATGGGTTTTATGAATGTTCTTAGTTGTAAAATACCAAACTGTGCTATTTGTTAAAGATTGATGACGTATTTTGTGGTATTATTCGAGAACAAAATAAAACAGATTCTGATATGGTGAACAATTGAGCCGCGCCATGACAAAACCAACATAATGCGTTTGCGACCAGAATGGATCCAGACCAGCCTGCGCAACCGCGCAGTCTGATCAGGATCCCTGCTGTTGTTCGCTTACAAACCCTATTAGAAGTAGAGAAACTGATAGCGAACAGCATAGATCCTGATCTGACTGCGCGGATGCGCAGGTTGGTCTGGATCCATGCTGGTCGCAAACGCATTATGTTGGTTTTGTCATGGCGTGGCTCAACTTTCTTTGTTTTGTTTTCTGATTTTGTTTTTAATAAATTAAAAAGGGGCAGTTTGATATTTTAATATACAGTAAGGAACATTATGCATTAAAATTCAAGATTTAAAATCCAATGCAACTAAAAGTTGCTAATTGATATGAGTTTATTTTGCTGATGAGAGATCACAGTGATTTTCGACTTTTGGCACATTTTGTATTGAAATCACTTACGATTCCTTTTCCCGACAATTCTCATATAAAGTGAACTTTTAAAATCTATATCTTTATATCCCGAACAAATCCCTTTTTCGTTATTTTCTCACCCGTTCAGTCTAACTTCTGTTAATTTCTCATCCCGCACTATCCCCATGTCATGAGTCAGAACTGTTCACTGTTCAGTGGAGATGTGTAAGCGACCGGATAACTCACATCGGTATAGCCGCGGAACGGTTTTCTGGGGACCTGGGTCCGAGTCCTGGTCAGATCTTCAAGGATTGAGAATAAAACATATCAAATGGAAAGTACAGGGCGACCTTTTCCGGTCTTCACACGGCACATACAACGCTGATGCTACAAAAATGATGGACTTGAAAACCGTAAAGAACGCGCAAAATGGCAAAATTAAAAATGTTAACATTACCCATCCTACATCCATGGAGAATTTTTAATGAAACTTCAGAGAAATGTTAACCACTGTGAGAAGCCGGATCCCGTGCATGAACCAGGCCTCTGGATCAAAGTCACACTTAGAGGTCACTAAAGATGATTATTACCCCTCACTTTTTTCGTAATGCTAATTTCCCACAGGCCTCTTGGAGTTATTTTTACTGTTAATGCAAGTGTACCACGTGACTAAGAATTTTGTACTGTTACATACTTTTTTTAACAGTATTTTTTAACAGTATAAAATGAAATAAAATGGCCGCCATTTTTTTCTCTCGATTCATTCTTATTTTCGACGTTAAACCCCGATAGGACATCAATTTCTTCTCTGGAGTAACTATGACACTCATAAAATTTAGTTGTTCGCACCCTGGTGTGCTTTTCGCGTATAAAATATCTTTTTGTTGAATAGTTAAAAAGTGAACATCCGTTTTCAACGGAAGTAAGTGCAATGTAAATAATTATGTGTCAAACTGGAACATGCAGACGATTTAAGCATGCAACAAAGGATTATTTAACAATTTTAATTATTGAAACGTTACAGATACGGTGGACAGACATAGGATATCATCGTTATTTTGCCAAAAACTATGCTAAGAATATTCTGGAAACTGTTTCAGTTGACAATTTCAGATTATCACAGTATTTTTGTTCGGGGTAATAAAATAAATAACACATGGGTTTGTGAGTAACAGTAAAAATATCATCCTTCGTAAAAATACTGTTACCCTCGGCTACGCCTCGGGTAACAGTATTTTCCTCGGGCTGATATTTTTACTGTTACCCACAAACCCATGTGTTATTTATATATTGTCAAGGTCACTAAAGATGATAAAATATAGAGATTTTGTCCAGAGCATATCTCCTACACATATGGAGGGATTCTAATGAAACTTCATACAAATGTTCACCACTATGAGAAGCCGTGTCGCGCGCATGAATCAGGCCTCTAGGTCAAAGGTCAAGGTCACACTAAGAGGTCATAGAAAAACGCTTGTCCGGAGCAAAACTTATACATGCATAGAGGTATTTCAATATAACTTGGCACAATTGTTCACTTTTGTGAGGCGATGTGTCGCGTGCAAAATTTAGGTCCCTGCTGCCAATGTCAAGGTCACACATAGGGGTCAAAGTTTAGATAAAAATCACTAGAGATGATATATCCAGATATTTTCCGGATATTGCCCAGAGCATATCTCCTATATGCTTATCTATAATGCCCACATCTCTGTCAAAGGCTTCTGTGAGGGGCGTATATTGCGATAATGTTGCCCTTGTCCAGTTTTAATTTGCATTGTTTGAGCATGCAACGTTACATTTTGCGTAAGAAAGTCTCATCTTCTTCGTGAACTGTTGACTCTGCACAACCTTACATGTAAACATTATCTTAACTGGGAATTGACCTTAAATAATAATTTTCAATACCATTGGGTTACTTAAAGCCTAAACGGACAGACAATATTGATTGTTAAGTGAAATTCTGAAATAGGGTCTTGCATGAGCTAGTGGCAAAGGTCGTTATATCGCTAATTCTGTACTACTTGCCACTCGAGGTGACGGATTCGAGTCCCGCCAGCGTCTTTGTGATCTTGCATGTCATGAAATAGTCTTGCTAGCTTACCGAAGGTCAGTGGTTATACTAAAGTGACCGTTTTTGCTCCAAAAAATGCGCGGAGGGGCACTTGGGGTCATACTCCACATTTAAAAAGCTTGAAATATTAAAATTGCATTTTAACAGGTAACTATCTTGGTTGGTCTGATCGACCACCTTCAACTGTTCAACTGTTAGTAATCGCTTCTTATGTCATTGGCAATGTCTAGTAATTCATAACAGTTTCTGTAGTTCTTCAAAACCTTTTCAAAAACACTTAAAGGAAAGAACATATTCAAACCTTAAACCTTCTCTTATCTTTTAGTTATGAAATACACATTCAAAATACACGAATGTGTATGTACACAAATTCAAATGTAACAAAGTAAAACGGAACATATATGTTAAAGAAACAAGAAGAAAAACGAAAAATAACTGTATTTATTGTGGTAACATAAAAGATGAACTAGACATGCCTGTAATAACAAGAACAATGAAAGACAAAATAATAATATTTCTCAAAAACAAAGCAATGTTCCTTGATTACAGACATTTTTTCCCTCCAAATAACTGTCAAAGCTATGTGTATGCCCCTTCCGGGGCCACTGGAATCTTCTCGGGGTCAAGGCCGAATTGCTTCATCTGCATAGCAACGTTAAACAGGTAGTCAAAACTTTCTGCCCTGGAAATTCATTAACAAAAATCCAATAACCATGAAGATATATGGAAAAAATATGTGCTAAAAAGCTTTTTGCAAGTAATTTGCTTTATTGTAAAAAAACAATTAGCGTCACTTCCAATATGTGTTACGTGTTATCTTCAAATGTCAGAGGTAAAATACCGGGCACAGGTCAACTCCAAATAAACTATTACTTTCAATAACAAAAATGAGCAACGAATGATGATTTACTCATAGGCATTGATAGCGATCCACTACCCGTTGTGTAACCGACTACCCGCCGTGATTTAAAAATTTTTTTTTTAACATACACACTTATCAAATCAATGAAAACGTCCTCAAAAATAGATACTTAAACTAGAGTAGATATATCTATTTTTTAAATAAAACGTTTTGTCGGTACTCCTTTTTATATCTATTTTTTTTAAAGACGTTTTGTCGGTAGATTTTTTTGTTGATTTGATGTTATAAATAAAAGTAAAAAAAATCACGGCTGATAATCGTTCATAACGGGTAGTCGATTAAAAAAAACTTTTTTCGGCAGCAATTTCCTATACATTTACTGATAATTTTATACTTATATTTTATTCATCTTTACATAACTAATTTATTTCGATTTCTTATTTGACATACATTGCCAGTTCAGTGACAGTAAACATTATGTCTTCATATTTCAGCCGCGTCACGACAAAACCAACGTAATGCATTTGCAACCAGCATGGATCCAGACCAGCCTGCGCATCCACGCAGTCTGATCAGGATCAATGCTGTTTGCTATCAGTTTCGAGTTGGTAAGCGAACAGCATGGATCCTGATCAGACTACGCGGATGCGCAGGCTGGTCTGGATCCATGCTGGTCACAAACCCATTATGTTGGTTTTGTCATGGCGCGGCTTATTTTAACAAGTAACCTACATGCATTTGGCTTTTTGCCAAGATGGCCCCCAAACATACATCCCGTGTCGTCTGATCAATATTGCACTCGTTTCCGGATAATCCAACATGGCCGCCGTCATTGACTCCTGAATAAAAACGAAAAAAGGAATATTCTTTGTTAACCATATAAAATATTATGTTAAAAGTTAAAATTTTCTTATTGTGTTTTTCCTATACTAGCCTAGGTATACATGTATGTAAAATGACTTCGCAGATCTCCGGATCAGTAAAAGGGACTTCTTACCAATTAAGAAAAAAGAGTACTTAAAACAAGACAAACATTTTAATACTAACATAACTTAAAACGCAAAAATTGTAATACATAGAGGTGTATGTAAGCTGGCAAAGTTTGGCTTTCCGACTCTTTTCTTCATACTTTCCGTAAGCATTGCAAATGCAATGTTTGCGAGGTGGTCCGAATGTTGAGAAGATAGTTAAAATAATTCTCTTTTTTATTTTTACTTTCAATCAAGTTCAAATGACATCAATATAGTTATGACATAAATCGAAGGCTTAATTTTACAGCATTGAATTTGAACTGACGCAAGTAAAAGCGTAAGGTCGACTTGCAGGGCCACTTTCTGCATCTAAAAAGTTTGGGAAAAGCGGTGACAATATTTTGCTACTTTTCAGCCTTTTCCATCACACATGGGTAAATTCAACGACGTCTTCCGAAACATTCTTTTTTGGCTCCTTGCTATTCATAAGAGTCTGAATGCCTCGAAATATGATGGATACATTAATATTTTAAATCAACCAAGAATTCACGAGTGTTTTTTCTTCTTCCTAAATACGTACGGCTATTTCGTCCTCCGTCGATTTGTTTTCAATAATTGGCACTATTAAGGTTTCGTGGTAGTCAAAATGCTTGTCTGAAATACAAGTAGATATAATTGTGAAAAATATAGCTTGCCTTTAGCTTAAATAAACCAACTAGTTATGTTTAGATTGAAACTGACCCATGATGATCTAATGGGAAATGTTGTGCTATTCATGCTTTATTTTCCAAAATCTTTTCTTACATTATAAAACAACATAATACTGCTAGTCATCGATCACTCGCACAGTCATGAGACGCACACATGCACGAACACAAGTCTTCATTACATTTTGTTCAATAAAGAACGGACAGGTAACGCCATTATAAAACACTCGGCCGTAAATCGCTAGTGTTGCAACACTTTTAAAATTGAGGATGAATACCATTTCATGTTTTTATGCTGTAGCTTGTATAATTATAACACTTTAAAGCTACATCTCTCAAAACAAGTTTTGTATATAAGTTTCTTACAAACAACAAAATAATAATAATAATAATAATATTTTTTTTATAAAAAATACAACAACAACAACAACAACAACAAAAAACATACAAATATATGAACCTAGATGCAAGATATGTTAACTACTTGCTACTACAGAAGAATAAAAACGCCTAGTTATTCAGTTAAATATGCCAAATATAACTTTATATTTTGAGAATCTCAATCACCATCTTCAAAATATACATGTATCTTCTATTCTGTTAATTTAAAGGTTTGGTTTTCCTTGTCTTATTAACAACCTGATCGCAGATCAGTAAGGACACTCCATAATATATTTTCCTGTGAACATTGGCTTCAGACTGTTAGATGCGTTCGGATGTTTCAAATATGTAAAAACGGTAAAAAAAACCCATATACGAGTCCATAGAAACAACCTGATATACGTTCCTTTAATAAATTTTCAAAAATAAAACTTGTTTTCTGAAATTTGACTCAGAAACTAGAGTTTTTGCATTGTTACATTGACCTACAAGTGAGTAAATGGAAGTAGTGTCAAACACGGGGTGAAAGCTAAACATTATAAGTAAGAACAAAGTTACTGATGGAGTTTCTTGGATCGGTTTCGCTATCTTGATTTTTTTTAATGTAACCGTTTTTCTGTGCACTTACTTACAATCAATATAAATTTCATCTTCGAGTATTTAAAAAAATCTCTAGTTGTCATATTAAAAATGGGAGAGAAAATTTGACTTTTTTTCTGGCATGAGCCTATATACACCGATTCTCCATTAATATAACAAGGTAAGGCTAATCGCAAAGTAAAACAAGGGTATGAATAAATGAATGAATGAATGAATGAATTGAATGAATGAATGTATGAATACCGGAGTTTCCTTTCTTAATGCACTGTATCATTTTCTGATGCGTAATCCGGAACTCTGTCCCTGACCATAACATTGACACCATCACAGCGGCCGTATTATGTAAATGGTACACTGCATGACATCCTGAAAGGTTTAACACCACCAAATTTATATCAATGATACTTTTACGTTTAAAGAGACAAACATTAATTTACTCAACAGGGCACGCACTACAGTACTGCATATTTAGGAGATCGAAGGTTTAAACCCCAGTTGAGTATTACAAAATATAGTGGAAGCCATCTTTCGTTACACGGTCGGGGCAGCCGTTTACGGTGATTGTATTTTGGCACCATAACAAAACATCGCAGTTTGATGGAGTCTTAAGTGCAGTCCACGGCTCTTCCCCGGGTGAGGAACTTGATTACAAGTGCATTTGGTTAACGTTTTTTGATGTAATGCCTGTACAAGAGTTTGTGTTGGACATTATTTCAATGAGTCTGTATTACAGTAAAATATTTTATACAGTTTAGCAACTTGCTCGTTGCTACAAGTACACAAGCCAAAAAATGAACATGGCTTAGAAGTTAAGGTATGTGCCATTCAACCCAGAGATCATGGGTCCGAACCCCCACTCGAGACACGGTCATGTTCCTCCTCTGAGTAATTATTAGTTAAAGGGTAGCAGGCATTAGCATATTTACCTATTTCATAAAAAGATGGTTCCCGGCAACAAACTATCTCCATTAAAATGATCCGAATACAGTGCAACCTCTGTAAAGCGGTCCCCTCTTTTCAACAACTAAATTTAACCTCTCTAGAGCAACTCCCCTTGGCAACAACCATTGTTTGCCATTCAACATGTGTTGCTTTGCAAATGTCGTGTTATGGGCATTGATATAATAAACTTTTTACACACAAAATTATAATAATATTTTAAATATTCACCTTCATTTAATCTATATACCACAGATATTAGCGGTGTACATGTACTCTTTTTCAACTTCTTTTCAGTTGGTGGACGATCTATATCAGTGCCATCACTGGATTGAACAAATAAATCTTCACCCTGTCGTAAAAAAACACTGTAAGTCCAGATATCACAGAAAAACACCAACTGCCTCTCCTAACAAACTCCCTGTGAAAACCGGACATTGAATTTCGTCATAATAAGATCTCATAGTTAACGAACTTTTCTATATTTATGTCAGTAAATATTTTCTCAATGCGATTGGATTAATACTTAACTGCTTTCGGACCGACCATTTGCCACTCTCAAGTTCAACCTGCGCGAATTTTCTTGATTAATATCATAATTATGCCCCCACTTCAAAGAAGAGGGGGTATATTGCTTTGCACTTGTCGGTCCGTTGGTCCGTCGGTCCGTAGACCAAATGGTTTCCGAGTGATAACTAAAGAACGCTTAGGCCTAGGAACTTCAAACTTGGTATGGTGATTTGTCATGACCAGCAGATGACCCCTATTGATTTTGGGGTCAAGGGGTCAAAGGTCAAGGTCACATAGACCTTGTAGGTAAAAACGATTTCCGCTCAATAACTAAACAACGCTTAGGCCTAGGAACTTCAAACTTGATATGGTGATTGGTCATGACCAGCAGATGACCCCTATTGATTTTGGGGTCAAGGGGTCAAAGGTCAAGGTCACATTGACCTTGTAGGTAAAAATGGTTTCCGATCAATAACTAAAGAACGCTTAGGCCTAGGAACTTCAAACTTGGTATGGTGATTGGTCATGACCAGCAGATGACACCTATTGATTTTGGGGTCAAGGGGTCAAAGGTCAAGGTCACATTGACCTTGTAGGAAAAAATGGTTTCCGATCAATAACTTAAGAACACTTAGGCCTAGGAACCTCAAACTTGGTATGGTGATTGGTCATGACCAGCAGATGACCCCTATTGATTTTGGCGTCAAGGGGTCAAAGGGTCAAGGTCACATTGACCTTGTAGGTAAAAAGGGTTTCCAATCAATTACTAAAGAACGCTTAGGCCAAGGAACTTCAAACTTGGTATGATGATTGGTCATGACCAGCAGATGACACCTATTGATTTTTGGATCAAGGGTCAAAGGTCATGGTCACGTTGACCTTGTAGGTAAAAACGGTTTCTGATCAATAACTAAAGAATGCTTAGGCCTAGGAACTTTAAACTTGGTATGATGATTGGTCATGACCAGTAGGTGACCCCTATTAATTTTGGGGTCAAGGGGTCAATGTCATATTGACCTTGTACTTAATGACGGTTTGTGACCAATAACTCAACAAGTTAAGTTGCCTTGGTTGATATTTTTATATTAAACTAAAAAAGCTTTTGGTATACACATTTGAAGGTCTTATGTAATATAACAACTTGGCTGTCATTAATGAGGCCTACATGATTCATAAAATTTATGCATATATTATTTGTAAGATTTGTAATAACTTAAATTGCTGCACACAACCTATGGGGTCACAATAATTATTACCTTGTGACTAGTCATGACCTGTAGATACTAGATAACCCTTATTAATTGTTTGTTCACTGGGTCAGAAGTCATGCATAATAACCTGATCATATGACTAATTGGCTGCCGATAGGGGGCATACATGTTTTACAAACATATCTTGTTTTTTTAATGTTGATAGTTTTTTTTCCAAAGTAATATTTCCAAAGTAATAAATCATGCCCAATGCTTTCAGCGTTTATGAACAGTAAAGATTTATTCACAACATGTGTTAGAGCTGTGGTGTGTGGGTGACAAGTCTCAAACGTCTAGGTGAAAATGACCATGTGCAAGTGCCAAAAATTAAAATGGAGGGCGCAAACCTTAGCATGATGCAAGAGTGGTATATTATTTGCTACTTATAGTTCATTGCCGCTTATCCACACAACAAAATAAGCAAAACGCACGATTAATGGCGGATAAAGGCAGATTGCGAACACTGCTCAGGTGAGCTAAAAATGTGAGTGAGTTATCGCGTTAACTTAGCAGAATCGGATTATTACATACACGTACGTACCTGAACTAGCTCTTTCTGAATACCAGATGGCGTTATGTAGATTTTATCACTGAAATATATGATAAAAAGAAGCCTGTTACCACGGCAACGAAAAACCACCAGTTTATATTAAATAAAGCTTTTTCCTGTTTACTAATATGGATACATATTCCTGCACTCCCTTTTCCATTATATAGAAGTTCAAATACTGGTGAAATTCGGAAATAAAACGATGGGATTGGGAAATACAGGTCGCTAATTGTCTTTCAATATGGAATTTGAATTTTTATTATCGTTTGCATAATTATACTGTGCTAGAAAAGACATAATATATACACATATATCTTGTTCGGTCTATTGTATTTTTTCATATTTTACTCATCAAAGTAAACTATTTGGACTATCACGGTTTTCTTTCATTATTTAAATGATCACCACAATTATGTCTACTGCGTTACTAACGCAGTAAGGACTGTTTTTGCATATGTTGACCACATTTTGGTAATTTTCTTGGATTGTAAGTGCCGATTGCAATATGTAAATTACTTTATTTGTCTACCTCACAATATTTTACTTTTAAATACATTTCCAAAATGTTTATGAAAATTATCTGAAGGCTTGCTGCTTTAAAACAATACGAAAGTGTGCTTACTGTAAATGATAACTACCACGTGACTTCAATGACCATGCAATATTTAAGTATATTCAAAGTCAGGTTATTTTTGTTTACTTCTTTACAACTAATTACCCAACTACTGACTCACCCAGTTCGAACACTTAAGGCGCCACCAGTTCCGTACATCCATCCAAGACTATAGAATTTCCTGCACAGGTCAGGCAATATCGTGCGGGGATGGTCCTAAAATGTAGAAAAAAAAATCAATATTACCTGCGTTTCTCGACCTGATTTTTCCCAAAGTTTTTCGTTTATTGCCTTTATGTTTATTGAATCGAATTCGCTTTCTAAACATTTGGAGAGGGACAATGTAGAAAACGTATATTCAATAGGGCAGGACTAACTTTGCACTTCTCATGGCTCATGCACTGAACACTTCTCACATCGTGAACTTCAATCACTGATTTTTTACTATCACCATAAATATAACTTTTCACTCTAGTAACAAACCTCAGAAAGCATTGTTCACAGTCAACATAATATCAATTTCTGTATGAACACATAAATAACAATATTCACTGAGCACTAAAAATACAAATGCTGATCACAAGTCACAATACAAGAAGAACTCACTAAACTCTAGTTTCAACATGAACATTACATAATTTCATTCACAACATGAACATTACCCACTGAACACTTCTCAACATGAATGTAACTCAGTGAACACATCTCAAAACATGAACATAACATTATGAACACTTCTCAAAACATCAAAATATCTTAACACTACTCGCATCATGAACATGATTAAATGAACAGTTCTCACAGCATGAACATTTCTCACAACATGAAACTACTCATAACATGAACGCTACTTACAACATGAACTCTTCTCGCGACATGCATACTACTCACAGCATGAACACTACGCACAACATAAACACTACTCACAGCATGAACACTACTCACAACATGAACACTTCTCACAGCATGAACTCAGCTCACAGCATGAACACTACGCACAACATGAAAACTACTCACAGCATGAACACTACTCACAACATGAACACTTCTCACATCATGAACTCAGCTCACAGCATGAACACTACGCACAACATGAAAACTACTCACAGCATGAACACTACTCACAACATGAACACTTCTCACATCATGAACTCAGCTAACAGCATGAACACTACGCACAACATGAAAACTACTCACAGCATGAACACTTCTCATATCATGAGCACTTCTCACAACATGAACATTACTCACAACATGAACACCTCTCACAATATGAACATTTCTGACAACATGAAAACTACTCACACCATGAACAATTCTCACAACATGAATACTACTCACAACATGAACACTACTCAAAACATGAACACTATTCACATCATGAACACTTCTCACAGCGTGAACACTACTCACAACATGAACACTACTGACAACATGAACACTACTCACAGCATGATCACTACTCACAACATGAACACTACTCACAACATGAACACTACTCACAACATGAAACTACTCACAACATGAACACTATTCACAACATGAACGCTACTCAAAACATGAACACTACTCACAGCATGAACTCTTCTCACATCATGAACACTACTCAAAACATGAACACTATTCACATCATGCTAGTACACTACTCACATCATGAACACTACTCACAACACGAACACTATTCACATCATGAACACTTCTCACAACATGAACACTACTCACAACATGATCACTACTCACAGTATGAACACTGTTCACATCAAGCATACTACTCACAGCATGATCACTACCTACAAAATGAACACTACTCACAGCATGAACACTTCTCACAACATGAACATTTCTCACAGCATGAACACTACTCACAACATTCACACTACTCACAGCATGAAGACTGCTCACAACAAGAACACTACTCACAACAAGAACTCTTAAAATGAAGCATAAAATTGATCTAGAAGTACTGCGTCGATGGACAAAGGATTTATGTGAAAATGTGGTAGATGAATATTTTTGTAAAACAGCATTTTTTTAGGGTAGGTGTTTTATGCTTTCTAGCGAACGTTTTAATCTTGTGTATATGATATCGTAGATGTTTAAAAATATCATTTATTTTTTATTGCAAACAATGTCTATTGTTTTATTGATACAAAATATATACATGTGTGTGCGCATATACACATGGTATATGATCGATAATTATATGTGCTGAGATTGACAAATATACAATTTATTTAGAGCTCCGCACGCAGTATCTGTGAACTAGACAGCAAGAAAAAGTGCATAATGTGCATACACGTGATTCCTTAATTAGGGCCAACATAAGTACAGTACAGCTAGTATATCGATCATCTACCAGTTTTCCTTTTGACTCCAAATCAAAATCACATGGACAAGGCCTGCGTAAAAATTTATAAATTTGTAAACAAAAATGATCACGATTATTCTTTGAACACAGTAGCCAGTCTTTCATAACTTGTAATTTAGTTATAATAATAAAACATACAGTATCCATTAAAATTTGTTTTTTTTTATCAAATTGTAATTAACATTACGTGATTCAAAGGTTACGCGTTGATAAAAATTAATGGTCCTTATTGGCTTCCGTACTAGACTTAGAGTGAATGAACAATCAAGGTTATATTTTGAAGGCCGTGTATTGATCAATTATACTTTAACAACAAATAAGATAGCACAAGACTGAGTTAAACATTCCAGGTCGGTATAAAAATCAGGACAAAACATTCAGTACAGCTAACTGGGAAAACCCCGTGTTGAAAATATTCTATTTATAGATCTACAACAATAACATTTATAGATCTACAACAATAACAATCGATTTGTGTATTTTTGTATTCAATCGAAAATGTTAAGAGAAAATTGGAATCTGGGTAATATTTCGACATCATATAACTTAAATTTAACCCCTAAAGAAAGCGACTGCATGCTGCATTTATAATAATTATAATATATATATTGCAGCCATATTAATATTTTGTAAGTCTAAGTACTGTAATATGAAGAGGCCTACTGCAAAGTTTGGAACAGTGAATTAAATGAAACTAACATGTATGCATTAGAATATATATTTTCTTACCTCTGGGTATTTATTTTCCATTTTCCAGTGCATACAACGTATATAAACACTGATAAAGCTCAAGTATTCTCATAAATATTTACAACGAAACTATGGTAAGTCAAGGACGCCTAAAGTATTCGTAATACAAGGGAGACAACTAGGACTCAAAAATCAGGACAGTCATTAAAAACAATATCAATTGATAATCGCACAACGCAGCTATTTCATTGGTTCATTATTTAGAATTTTCGGTCAAGGTTTAAAATAATTCAGTTAGACTGATAAATAGGATATCTAGTTATTTGCAAAGTCACGACTTGTATTATCTTTGTGAGTATATAGGAGCTGCTTATCTCTATTGTCTATGTCTCTGGTTTTATGTACTATTTTAAAACTGAGTTTTTACGTTTACTACTCTTTTTTTTTATTAAAATTGTAAAATAAATTTTAAGAATTCAAATGTCATATTGACCGACGATTATAAGTCAAAATTTAACTGGAAAAAGTCAGTAAATTATGGTTAATCTTTCAATATATAATATTGTTTATAATTCTTAAACCATGTACATGTACATTTGTATTTTTCTTTATCATTTTTTAAATTATCAATCAATTGAATAATTCATAAAATCTAATTTGTAACTTTGAATAATTCCTCTACATTTTTACTTAACACGAATAACAAATTAAATAAAATGTTTCAAAGTTGATAGTGTCATATTAATACCATAAAAATGTACCCTTTTTCTCAATTATTGTACATATTTATTGTTTTTATCTCGTATAGATAAAATGAAACATGCTTTTGTTGTTGTTGTTGGTTTATTTTTTCGAATTGTATGTTTATGTATAATAATAATCAATAATTTTGAGAGTTGATCTGTGTGTATTAATCATTGTAACCAATTTAAGTGACAAACATTCATTTTGGAAAAAAGCTTATTTATCTGTAAACTATTTGTTCTGTTCTGTAACGATATCAAACATCTCCTCCAAAACAGGTAGAGACCGGACAATAAACGTGTGATCCTACTCGCCGGTCGCCAAAATAGACCGGGAGAGAATGGGAATTACCGATAGGAGTACATCCCTCTATAAATAGATTTTCGGAATGTTTAGGTCATCAACTCATCATTCTATTTACTGCTGTCGGATACATGTAAAACAATAACATACCAAAATAAACCAAAAACAATAGGCTCTGTCTTGCCAAGATGCAAAGACAATTTATAGCCAATTAACCAATCTTATAAGACTCATGGTATAAAAAAGAATTTCTTCAGATTTATTTTACCAGATAATAATGAAACAGTTCTAAACCACAACATATTTCCCCACTATATTGATTTGTGTCCTTGAATTTCTTATGTTTACAGAGCAAAGTGAATTAAATTCATGGTTATATGCAGTCAGAGGATGAGAAAAACTTTCAGCTTGACCAGAACTCGAACCTGTGACCCACAGAATGATATGTACCGCGGCTGTAGCGATTGAGCTATCTGGCCGCTTAAACATTTTCTCTCCTAAATAGTGAACAGTTCTAAACCGTGACAGATACTTTTAGATTTTTAAATTAACAGACAATTAATTCTTAATTAATAAATAAGAAAAAAAAAACTTACATACTCATAGTCTTAATTAAAATAACAATTTATATTATTGTATAATTATTTTTACTAAAAAGACAGGTATTGATTGTGCCATTATTTATAACAGGTCAATTTGAAAGTGAACATAACTGTGCTAATACATGTACAATATCTATTTTTTGTACAGATAAAAAATAACCTTTTATGTATGATAAGTAATTTTATGAAGGCTGATTTGTATTTTGCATCAATGGCACCAGGCAAAAACATGAATATGCAACAAATGAACCACTTTGTGGTAGATTGTATTTTCATGTTTTCATCTGGCGCCCGGTTACTTTTTGTACTATGTTGGTTTTCGTGTGGCACAAATCACCCACTATAAAATTGAGTGCACAAATTTATTCAAGGGCAAGTAACTACTACTACTCTATGAAAAGTCTGTTGTCGGGTTGACTCAGGAGACCTGGAGGTTGAGACCGGTGTCCCTTTATTACAAATAGATAAGACAGAAGCTGTCTTTTTCAAACAATGCACATGTTAGAAAAAAAAACAGAATAACTATTCAGAATATTTTGAGACTTTATTATATTGCTTGATCAAAGTTTAAGGACATTTTCAATCAATACATGTATTATCATTTATAACTTTAAATGAAAGTCTCATCCCTTTAATAATAATGACATAACTGTAACTCTTTAAATTCAGAAATATTAAATTTTCAGAAGTCTCATCATATCAATATACTAATTAAGATATACATGTATGCACATAACATTAATAATTCCCAGTTTCTACTAAATAAATATGAAATCCTAACATTAACATGCTTTTGATGACCTTACAACTGGTAAATTTTATACAACAAACATAGTATGTAATACCTAAGATAGACAGAAAAGAACAAATAATTTAGTAAACATGAGTTACTTCCCCTTAAAATATAGAAAACCTGAAACCCAAAAGAACACCCTAAACAGCAAAATTATGAAATGTTGCAGGCTCAGTTTTATTAAGCCATGCAAATTAATGGTAAAGGATTCATAAAAAATAGATGACCATGTTACAGCAGTAATTGCAGAAAATCGGATAGCTTTTAACATCCGGATACTGGTGCACTTTGTAAAAACAACCATTCTGTGCAACAGATAAACACAATATGGATAAAAGCAATAGGATAATCGTTTACAACAGTTCATTACATATCCTAATACTCATTTGCAGGTGAACTTTCTTCTTGTAGGAAAATTTTGAAAATGTATAAATGAATGAATGAATGTAGACTACAACGATATTCGAAATCCAAGTTTTAGGTAGCACACCACAGTAATGTAAGCCACAGCTTCGAATGGCCAGGAGGATTTCTTGGATATAGTGAATATTCTGGATTTAAATGACTGGTTGTCTTTAAAATGCATTTTCAGCATAAAATTTGTTTTTGTGACATCTAATATGATCACTGGCAAATTGGAAAACATGGCCAGAAATCACATGCTGTTGATTATGAATGTCAAGGCCGCCATTTTTTGTAAACATTGCTTTTATACAGCATGCACGGTAAAAAGAAGTCATTTTACAGGGGGGTACAAACTTTTAGCAGTAGCAAAAAATCTACAAGGTTGAGGACTAGTTTCTTTGTGATATTTTGCATGTATAGGGAGTTGCTAAAGCAGAGACGGTGTTCCTTTAGCCTGTATATTTGCAGATTTTTTTTGCCAGAGGGTCGAAATGTGTTGTTTTGGGTCTCGGGCCACTGTAGATTTTGGGCTTCAACGGAATGAATTGCAAATTTTATTACTGCCTGCCTATTGCACATGGGATAATTTCTTTGTAGATTTGCAATCTTATGTCATATATGTTCTCAACAAAATGTGTTTTCTTTTTCCAGGTTGTGTAGTTTGGTATCAGAATTATTAGACGTATTGCTTGTAGGACATTGACGGCAGGAACTTGAAATTAACTGTGGAGTGCTACCTTTAGTATTGTCAATAAAACTAAGGGACAAGCTGTTAAACTGAGCCTGCAATTTCGTGAAAATGATATCACAATGCACATGCTTTTTACATAAAGTTATTAAACACAAATATAACAACATATTTCGTCGCTTGAAAACTGTAATGTTCTATCTCCAAATTTTCCAAAAACAAGTTAGATTCACAATTTTGTCCGTAATGAACTGTTTTATCTCCTTGGCATTTTATATCAGTGCTTCAGAGCTTCATAAATAAATTACAACGAAACCATCCTGTTCTATCTCCACAAATTTACTATGTCTTGATAAATAGACTGTTCTAACTTACTGGACTAATCATATCATCAATAAATGTCACGTGACCTGTGGGATATATGCAACATACTGTTCTAAATCCAAAATTATCGTATCAAAACATAGCATCAAATCACGTGATAGCAGGACACCCGCCATGTTGTACGAAACATTTTGAGTTAGATGGTTTGTTGTTTATTTAATATACATGTATTAATACTAAATATAAGTATTTAACGATATTATGTATTCATTTATTCCCCCCAATCATTGACATTTTAGTATTAGGTCCTGTAAATTTACTGCATGTGATTAAACAACAAGCAAAACTGATCATGATTTGAAAGTTATTTCAGATGTGTATTTTCGGATAGAAACAACTGTGATCATACAATTTCATCAAACAAATTCGTAAAAAAGAAAATTTGTTATATGTTATAAAGTTTCTTTAACGTAAGGTACATTCTGTCTCAGAAACCAATTATTTATCTTTATAACAGATACATATGAGTTTAAAAAATTGACTGTACTCATTGCCAATATGAAACAAAAGCATAAGATGGTTTAGGTTACTGACCAATGTGGAATATTTTGGAAACTATAAAATAACTCCAAATATCAGGCTTTGAGAGATTAAGATAAAAGCATTTCTGGGGCAAAAAAAGGCCTTTAAGAAAATTTATAGATATTATACGTTTACATATAATATATGTTTTCGAATGCGTTAATGTTATATAACTAATAGATTTCTTTAAAGTAAACAAATTTTATACCAAAGACAGCAGGAAGAAAAATATTCTTATACGTATATTTTGCTTATTTTGTAATTTGACTTTGAATTTCTAAATAAATATTTATATAGCATTATGTTTGTAATGTTTTTGTACACGAACAATCTTTAAATATGACATTTTTCAAATATAAGTCATGCCTGCTCCACCTTTAAGGTCTTTCTAGCAGATATGTTTTCATTGCCTATTTAAGTTATAGAAACATTTGTTTACATACCTTCAATCATAAAACTTCTTACCAACACACAGAAAGTTAAAGTGCATAACAAAAATAATTAACTACTATTTTCATACTTTTGGAAGGAATTTGAATTTGACCATCTTCGAATTTTCATAAAAAAAACAATCTTGAAAAGATTTTTCCCAGCATTCTAGAAAATTTGAAAGTTTTTTCTTTTCCCGTTTGCGGCTATAACTTTCTTTTTCCAGATATTGAAACCACTTTTGAATTGGCCAAAGTTATATTAAAAAGATAAAATGTCTACAAAAATTTATGTGGGTATTTTATCTTTATTTATTTAAATTATTTGTTTTTTTAAATGTCATAAGATTCGAATGTCATAGTTCATGTAGTTAGATACATTATGGTCTAAGAAAATAGTGTAGTGTCAAAGTCAACTAATCAAGGGTTAATTAGCCGAGAGCGTTTTTGGCAGCCTTTTAAAGATAAAACATACTGTTTTATATGATATAAATCAATTCAACTTAAAAGACATAATGTTCTAAGTCACATTGAACACTCTGATTTTAACAATTTTTGAAAAAGAGTTACAAGGACTGTTCTATCTCCAAATGTTTTTTTAAGTTTTTAAGCAAGGAAATATTAAAATCCACATATCTGTCACAATATTGAGTTGTTCTCCTGACACCACGTTAAGTAGTTTTTAAATTTTCAAAATCCGACAATAAATAAAAAAGTTATGCAATACTAAATCTTTAAATGCTTTTTTCTCAAAAACAACAAATTGGCACTTAGAACAAAACGTTTTTCAAGCGACGATTTGTTTACTTGATTTTTACGAATCAAAATAAAACTAATTAACACAAAATGACATTAACTGCTAATAATAACAGCTCCTATCATATGCCAAAATAAAAAGCATTCCATAAGAGACGACGTCGCTCACCGGCGTCGCCAATAACCCAATGAAAAGAATAAAATCAAAGCACAGAAGGCGCTGAATTTGTTTGGGTCTCAGAATATCAGAAAGGTGAAGGTTGTGAGATCATAAACCAATTTGTTTTTGTATAGTGCCACCAATGCTTTCCAGTCTTTTAACTGTAGTAAATTGGCTATAAGACTTATTGCAACACTGATAGTCAATTCAATGTTTATTTGACTTGAATTCTTTTTTTAAAAAAATGAGTTGCCTCAACTGGGATTTAAACTCGAGACCTCTCGATTCATAAGCGAGCATGTAAACCCCTCGGCCACGGTGAAGTTATATGTTAAAAGCCTGAAGAAAACCATATTATTCTAAATTAGGGTTTGTAACTTATTATTTCGACGATAAACACAGATGTAAATAATCATGGAGCTTACTGTAAGCATGTATATCTATAAAGAATGAAACAATATTACAAATCTTCGACCATTCGGGAACTACTTTGCTTGAAAATTAATGCGCCTGTCATTTTTACAATCTTTACGCATTGATCTCCCCTGAATTTTTCGGCGTTAGTGTGCATATAAAGGGAAGTAACCACTTCAAAAAAGTGGACTACTTTACGCATTTGCAATTAACAGCATTAGGATATGAAATTTCGCTACCATTATTTGTTTGGTCTGACGACCCAAACAAATAAAAAAAACCGAAGAGACGGAAAAGATTACTTCATTTGAAAATGTTTGCATTGCGAAATTCTCCAGTTCGCTATTCATTGTCCTTATCGCGACATTTCATTTTCAATTAATAATAATCAAGCACCCTCATACCGATCGGAATGATCGGCTTTTATAATAACCGACTAAAAGGCTCGGGAAGTTGCTGTCGCCCTTTCACAAAATCTGATTTCATTCCATAAGGGGCGTCGCGCGTCGGCGCGGACGCCAAAAATCACCACTCGGACATGGACTTGACCATAGACCCTTTTATAACTTTGTTAAATATTAATTTCCAAACTGTATACTCCCCTGACACTTTTAAATTTCAATTACACTTTACCAACTCACAATTTATTTTTTATCTATATATCTTTTTTCTCTGTAGTTTTCTCAAAAATATTATTACATATTGATTATTACACCATCATGGCAGCTCAGGACGATGGTCAGAAACGAGGCTTAGCATAAACTTTTAGCTTTCTCCTCAATTATGATAGATTACATGTTTAGTACACTTATAAATTTCTGTATACATTGTAGTATAATGTTAAATCTCTCTGTAATTATTCATTTGTTCTTTGTATGATACATTATGTAATCAATTTATTGAAAATAAATATTGTTTAAACATTATAAAAATTCGCGCCATTTTATTAAATACTAGTTTCAGTTTTGCTTCAAGTTAGATTACAACCATAAATATCTGTAAATTGAAACACGTCAAGATAAAAAATTGAACATCCGGGTCCAACAAGGTTATCCCGATAATAAAGTCATACGCAGGATTAAAGTATGAAAACATTGAAATTAGAATATAAGGTAAGTTGGTTTTCTTTTCTTATTATGAAATAGTGTGTGGTTAAAATGATGTAACAGTATAGCTGATAAGGTAACAATCTGAAAGAAGAAGCTGAATACTAAGGTATGTATGCATATATACTCAAAAGTTCAATGAGGATTTATCAGCTCAGATAGTATTTCATGGAATGTGCTTCAGATAACAGGCCAAGAACCTGTCAGCATCATCCCTCTCGAATTATTAAATTTTGAAGCATAAAATGGTGAAAATTAAAAAAAATACGCAATTCACAAAGCGTAATAGCAAAAGATAAGAATTTCAAGAGTATGTCAATATGATACGACACTATCCTGTTCATAGCAACAGAAATGATGTCAGATGTAAGAAGTTGCTCATTACATCTGAGATATTGTATTAAAGATTACATCTGTGAGATGTTAAACAAGATAAAATCTGTGAGACGTCATATTAGATATGGAAAGGCAAGGAAGTTACAGCTAATAATTACCTGGATACAGTCTTAGCGAATAAAGGCTGGAAAAAGACAAACATTTACCAAATAAAAATGTTACTTTTGTCGTTGTAGTTGTTGTTGTTGTATGGTTTCTCTCTTTTTCAAACAGCAGCTGTTAAATGCTACGTTACAGCTGTAAAAGTTTCTGTTAGTTATCGCAGATGTGTTATATTTCTGGTCAAAATTGATTCCAATGTTTGTTGTTGAATACTGCTGGTGTCAGGAAGCAAGAGATATCTTGCTAATATCATTATCGCGTACACACAGACTCAATTAAATCGAGTTTTGAATATTTATCTTTTCGATTTAGTTTTCGGTGCTTTCGGAGGAAGCGGGTTGTGCACACCTTCTGGTCGAAAAATGATCTTTTATTTATATCACTGCGGTAAATCACCATGAATTTATTTTGCCTCAATATGCAATCCAAAGATAATACATGTTATTCAATCTAAGGATAACACTGTGGCCTTGAGTGAAGTATGACTGTTTACCTTTTCATTATCAAAAATATGAAAAATGGGTGATATAATATTTCAAAGTATAAAAACACGATAAAGTAATTTCGCTGCTATCTTTTCTTTGATAACAGGAAAATCTTTGTTTTGCACATTTTCTATTTCAGATGGCGAAGATTGTGATAATGTTTGCCGCGATGATAGCAATTATTCGAGGGGAGGTCACCGTTCAACCAATAGCAAATCCTAACGACTGCATTTGCAAACTCGAAGACAAAGTTTGTGCATGTACATTTGTCATTGAACATAAACTCACCATGATTCTTGAGAAAGAAAAACAACTAGTATATCCGGACAACGGGGTCTTGCGACTGCGAGGAAAAGCAAACGGAAATGCCCAATTAACTCCCGAGCAAGTTTCTCGAGTTATCACAGCTGACGGGGAGACTTCGCGTCTTGTAATAGCTATCAATGGATCGTTTCCAGGTCCTAGGATAGAAGTATGGGAAAGTCAAACTTTAGAAATAACCTTTATAAACAAACTTCACACTGACAGCGTCACGATGCATTTTCATGGGTTACACCAGCGAGACTCACCTTGGATGGATGGTGTCGCATTCGTTACACAATGCCCAATATTGCCAGGGCAGTCTTTTGTTCAGAGATTCAAGGCATATCCCCCCGGAACGGCAATGTACCATGCACATATAGGGGATCAAAGGAGTATGGGGTTGTACGGACCAGTTATAGTTCGCCCAACAAAAAATCCTATCATTGAAGATAACGAAATAATCATATCTTTACAGGACTGGAATCATCTGATGGACCCTGAGGTAGCGTATCAAAGAATGATAACAGAGCAGTTTGATTTCAAAACCAACGAAAAAATCAATACGACATATTCAGTTGACAAAGGTAAATTTAGCCGTTTTGAGTTTCAGTCGGGCCTTGCTAATGGGAAAGGAAGATTTTGGAATACAACAAATACTAACAACGGTTCACCACTTGAACGATTTAAAGTACGTTCTGGAACTTTGTATAGGTTTAGGATCATTGGAGCTATGACCCTTTATCCAATGAGAGTATATATTTATGGTCATCGGCTAACATTACGTACCTCGGATGCATACAACGTGGACAGGATAGCAGTACAGTCAATCATAGTACAACCGGGCGAGCGGTACGACTTTTTCTGGCAAGCTCCATCAGCGAGTGAAGTCACTTCTAAAGAGATACTTTTTATTGCCGAGACAATAGAAACCGATCAAAGTCTCGGTTACTCAAAATACCACGCGGCTGAGGCGATTTTAGAAATTGAAGATTTCTCGGGACCTACACCACCTGCAAACCCTCCAAATGGTAGAAGAGAAACATGTACATCTTCATCTAAATGCCGTACATTCAACTGTCCATATGAATTTTACCCACCAAATGATAATAGAGTTTGCATCACATTTGCCGAAGTAAACAACACTGATCCAAACCAAAATTACAAAGAAGTGCTAGGTGATAACGTCGATGAAGAGTACTTCTTTAACTTTGCTTTTCCGGGGACCCCAGAGAACACCCCAGGCTCGGTTAATGGCCGAGAGTTCGTTCCGCCAACCGTTTCTCTCCTCACACAAGAAAACGAGTTGACCTCTCCATGTACGGATGATTGTATTGACAATGGCATCTGTCAATGTACATATATTCAGAAATTAAAGTCCAACAAGCTGGTCCAGTTTGTGTTACTCAACCTAGGTAATGGATCTGGATGGTCACACCCTGTACACTTGCATGGACACTCATTTTATGTAATGAAAATGGGTTTTGGCACATACGACCACAGTACAGGAAATCTAATGTCTAATTCTAAAGACATAAACTGCACGGATGAATTCGACTATTGTAGTTCTGCTGAATGGACAAACCGTAGTTGGGCAGGTGGAAGAGTTCCATATATGAGCAGTAAACCACCGGAAAAAGACACAATTGTCGTTCCAACAGGTAGAGTGCAGGTTTTTTTTATGCACATAGCAATCCTACTTTTTGTAAGCATTAGCCTGTTCGCAAAAAAAACTATCAGATTTATTTTGATTTGAGTCAATGTTGACTCAAATGAATAACTCATTTAATTAAACATAGTGTGCATGTTTAAACTCAATTGTTAGATTAACTGATACTATCTTTAATAACAGACAGATTTTACTGTTCATTTGCTTAAATCAGGAAAGCTGGAGATGAATGAATTATTTTCGTTTAAATAACAATGGCGCGAAAATACTTAGCCCATAGTTCAAAATCCAAAACATCATATTCATTATTGAATTTCTCGAACTCACCCAATAAATTAATACTATGCTCGCCAATGTTTCGCTTGTTACTATTCTAATCAACTTAATATTCAGTACTGAACTTACACTCACACAATATTCTCTATTTATGCCAAGATATGCTAACATCAGTTATCCCCAAACCAGAGTCCTAAAGGCCTCAACAGACGGTAGGATTTAGTTGTACAACACTAGTTAGCGATAAGATGTACAATTTTATTTTCAGAGCAATACAACATTTTCATTCAGACGGTAATTCTGCATTGTAGGAATCATCTCAGGTTTCCCTAAAAAAAGTTCCCTCCTGATTGAGCCCTTACATACTTTACTCACTAAATTTTTTTCTCCATGAATGATTGAAATACATCTATTTTTTTTTTTTAAAAAAATTGTTAAATTTTATTTTTTTAATGTGCAGCCTGACCGAGACTCAACCTGGGACCCTCGGAATACCGTACTGCAGTTCTACTGACTGAGCTATCCGGCCACCTACAAACTACCTCTAGGTCACTGATTAGAGAACAGTTCAATACCGTGACATAATCATTTTCGGAACAATTTGGGATTCAAACATACCACAACTTTGGGTCTCCTGAAGAGTGTTTCAACATCATTTTTACCCCTTCTTACTACTATGTTTACCTTTTAGCCCTAATTGTTCTGGAATTTCATTCATTACACCCATTATCAGAAGATAATTTGGTAATCTGTTACTTGTCATTGTGGGAGGTCTGTAGAAATCTGTACGACAAGATTTTCAAAGTAGAACATGTCCTATCCCTTACATCTAGACTTGAGGTTTACGAATTTAAGAAATAGTAGCCTTCACACATTAAGATTTGCTTGTACATCTTGTAAGGTTTTAATTGGTGTTGTACTTCAAAATCCTACCGTCTGTTGAGGCCTTAAGATAACAGTTTGCTCTTGAGCAGACATACAATACAACATTAGGACGGATTATGAAATTTCAAGATCTGTTAACAACATTACAAAGTTTAAACAAGTTTTAAATGTTGATGCTGCATATCAAAGACGCCGCCAAATGATGTGAACAGTCATCGTTCTCTGTTACAGTTGAAAATCCGAAGCACAAATCATTTTTTTCTAAATGTTCTTGGTATGTGCTCGTTGTTTAATAATAAAGTTGCATATTTTTTTCATAAAAAAGGTATCTAGATGCAAGCGGCGTCTAAAAAACCAATCCCACTAGCAGAAAAACCGTAAGGAAAATACGCATATCTCAACCAGACCACTGCGCATCCGCGCAGTCTGATCAGGATCCATGCTGTTCGCTTACAAACCCTATAAGAAGTAGCGAAACTGATAGTGATCGAACAGCATGGATCCTGATCAAACTGCGCGGATGCGCAGGCTGGTCTGGATCCATGCTGGTCGCAAACCCATTATGTTGGTTTTGTCGTGAAAGGGCTCATAAATGTCGTGCAAATCTAGATGGCATATAGCACTCTCTTGCCATGTCAGCATATTTATACAGTACATATACCTCTGTATCGTAAGCTTCATTTGTTCTTCTTCGGCAGGTGGCTACGTTGTTATTCGATTTAGATCGGATAATCCCGGAATGTGGTTTCTGCATTGTCATATTGACCTGCACAATACAAATGGTATGGCAATGGTTATTGATGAAGGGGAGTCAAAACCAAGCCCTCCTGCAGGATTTCCAACATGCAGAAGTTTTCTATATAATGGTAAGGTATCAGTGTGTATGTGTGCGCGCGCGTGCGTGCGTGTGCGTATGTGTTCTTTATGCCTCCTGTTATGGGACATATAGTGTGATCCTAGCTTGTCCTTGTGTGCGTGTGAGTGTTCGAAAAAGTATATTCTTCGTGTGTGGGCCATGATTACTGCATGCATGATGTAATTAGGAAATGGGCTCACCTGACCACCATTAGTTGACAATTTGCATGCGCACTAAGATCACATGCTTGAAGGTCAAGGTTAAAACTGAGTTTTGAGCATATAATCTGAAGTGCTGTAAGAGCTTTGGTACTTGTAATTTCTTATACGGCAAGGGGTGGACTAAGTATATTTGACATAATGTCTAAAGTGTCGTATCCTGGCGCATCATTGTTATCAAGATTATTTAAAGTGGAACACTTTGCCGTTTCTTGATGAATTGTGGGAAATATTCCGCATAACTGTTTTTGCCACTGACAGACGATGCATGACATGATCTTCAAGGTCAGTGTTGGACTTTGAGGTCAAAGATCAAAGCCTGTTTGTCTACTATACTTTTGGTTTATAACTTTTAATACCGTGCTGTATTATCAAAATATTTGGCAGATGTCTGGGTGTATCTCAAGCAATACCCAGGTCAAGGTGGTATTAAGATGCAAAAATGTCAGGGGCATCCGTGTCTTATGGACACAGTTTTTGTTTGTTGTTTTTTATTGTTTCTGTTTTAAAATAGGTAGGATTTGTATATGTTTATGTCGTTGCTCAAGTATAATATCATTATGCAATACCTTCTTAGTGATGTTAAACTACTTACAGATCGTTTCCCAATTGTCTGCGTCTAAACCGAACATAAAATGGTTATTTTTAGCATGTTCATGATTTATAGCCATACATCGTGAAGTTTCAAGTTGCTGTACACAATTCAGTTGTTAACATTATTATACGATGTAGTCATGCATGCTGATACCTTTCTGACAACAACCACTGAAGTTAAAAAGAAAACTTTGTTATTTATACAAAAAAGAGGAATTCTTGTATAATTTCAGGTAAACCTCCAGATGACCCGGGTGTCAACAGTGCCACGATACACGGCGGATTTCCGATTATAGTGTTTTTTGTGCTTTTTCTAACAATAAAAATAATTAATTAGATTTTAAAGGGGGGCTGGGGGCGGTGAGTTGTTGAGATTATCATCGCAACCATAAATACTGTACCAATATCCTAACATTAGTTTTTTTATTAATACGACATGCGATACAAGATGATTTCTTCCCTCGGGCAATATTTGAACAACATTTTCATTGTATATAACTCATCGCCGGTGTAAAACAAAAATATTTTCGTTCGATTAACATAGAAATTGTAAAATTCATAGAAACATTGTCTAGGCTCTTACAGTTAATGCAAATGATCAGAGGTTGTTACGCATGGCAGAAAGCCACTATTGTCAGATTTACGTTGACACCTTTTTCATCGCTAAACATTTTATACTGTGCACTATTTTAAAGTAAATTAATACCCCTCTAAGCCTTACTAGCTTTTTAAAATACGATTTGTTGATATTAACAATCGGACATTACTTCAAATCTTGTCTCTATGTACTTTTATATGTCTCATATATTTAGTTCACCACATCCCTGAGATTGTTCTCACCATTATTCTGCTGTGCTTAATAAATTGTAAAATTTAAAGGAAAAGTTACAATATCAATATACTAAGATATACATGTATGCACATAACGTAAATAATTCCCAGTTTCTATTAAATAAATATGAAATCCTAACATTAACATTAACAATGGTCTCATCCATCATAACTGCAAGTCTTTAAATACAGAAATTATAATACATTTATATCCATATACTAAGATATACATGTATGCACATAACATTAATAATTCCCAGTTTCCATTAAAAATATATATAACATCCTATTAACATTGGTACTTGGATGGAATTCATAATCTTGTAGAAAAAAACTGTAATATATAGTATGAAAGTAAAAAAAAATCTCAAATAGTCTATAATTATCATATAATAAAGATTGGGTTGTGTAATGCATATCTCTTACAGTAACACTGTCCCTCTTAACCTTCCATTAGACTTTACCATATAACTAACTGCATACATGTATATATCAAGTGTTTAAATCGATAACTTCAGGATGTTATCCTTTCTAGGTTCTAATATATGGACATGAGCACCTATAAAATTTCATTTTTTACCAAAGGTTAAGAGCATGTCAGATGCTTTTTACTGAAATAAAGTAGCGCTGAATATGAAATTATATGTCAGGAAGGCAGCAAACAGTAAACAAAGTAGTATTTTGATTTCAATACAAAACTATAACTGTACTTTAAATTGCCGAAATGCAACAGAAGCAAACGATGGTTCAGGTAATATCCATTAAACTTGTTTCTCTTTTTTTTTTAGACTGTACATAACGAATAGGACACCAAATTAAAAAGCTTTTGAGAAATAAAATTAACAGCATTTATGGGACATAATGTGTTAAGCGAACAATATAATATAGCTGTACGCGGAGGAGTACGCTCGACTATTCTTTTATGTTATATGGGGTATAATTCTGCCATATTTTACGATTTTTGTTTTAATATAAACAAATCTACTTAATAATCATGAGCTGAACACGGGGCATAGACTACGCCCGACTGTAAAGATATTGACCGAATAGTCGGCGAATGAAATGATGAATTCGTGATAATTTTTAATGAGCTCGCTTCATTCCGTTGAGAGAAAAAACAAACAAACAAAAAAATCAATAAATAAAAAAAAATCGAAAAAATTGCAAGACAATAGCAAAAGAAATATTAGCATTTTTCAGGCATTATGCTCATTGTTGTTGTTACTTCGCTGTCAAATTCAGCTGAATTATTAATAGAAATACTAGTACATTTCAAAAGATTGACTATTATAATGTTGATTGACTAATATTTGATAATGAAAATTGTTTAGAATAAAATACAAATAACTACCTAAATTATAAAAAGACTGACAATTTAATGTTTCCGATACATTCCGAACGATACTTATAGAAATTTCGATGGGCCGTGTGGATTATTGATTTTTTTTGCACAGTAAATTATGAAATTTTGCGAAAATATGATAAAGTGTAAATTTATTTTGAGATTTACCTGTGCACTCACCATTTACACGGGGATGGGCATGTTACTTTTATGGGCATTGCATGGACACTGACTGAACGTCGCACAAACTAATGTCTTTTCGTATACCTAGTTTGTAATAGCTTCTTTTTTTTAAATTTCACATCGCCTAAAGGTCATATGGCCACTTTAAAGCTTTACTGGTTGATGAAGACCTAATGTGGGCCCCCGTACATTATTTCAGTCACAATCGGGCATCTGAGTAGAATCCCCGGCGTTCCGTAAGCTAGCTGGATCACAGGGAGAAGGGGGGGGGGGGGCAAATGGATCTTAAAATTGAGCATCATTAAAAAATATATGTGAATTTCCGCTGATTCAGATGTGCACTATCTATAACACCAAATGTGAAAGAGTAAATATGTAAATCATGATCCCACATACATGTGAGAAGTTTTAAGTGAATACCTTCGAATATTTTATGTTCATAAAGACTGTAATTCAGTCAAAATCAGTTTTAAGAGTTATAAGGATGGAGAAATGACCTACATACATGATCCCCAAGACATGTGAATAAGCCCCGCCCCCTGAAGATTTGATAAGACTTGAAGCTGGATATAAAGTTTATGCTAATCGGAGTTATGTTTTTTACACTGCACTTTTACTCAATGAGATCTATGTATAGGTTAGAGTGCATATTGGGTGTTCTTCGTAAATAAGAAAGCTAAAAAGGAGCGGAGCTTGCGAAGCGACTGTAGCTTTCTTATTTACGAAGAACATCCAATATGCACTCTAACCGGCTTAGTGCTCCGCCCATTTTTTTCCGCCCAACACACTGCGTGACGTCACACGATAGCCTAAATGTGTATAACCATATTATATTTGGAAGAGGTAGCGGTACACATTTTCGGGTCACGTGTTTTGCATAGCTTATTCCCGCATTCTGTCTAGATAAATAAATCAGACAATATCACGGTGTATATCCATGTCGGTACCCTCTTTGCATTCCGTTGAGAGAAAAAAAAAAACAAACAAAAAAAATCAATAAATAAAAAAAATCGAAAAATTGCAAGACAATAGCAAAAGAAATATTAGCATTTTTCAGGCATTATGCTCATTGTTGTTGTTACTTCGCTGTCAAATTCAGCTGAATTATTAATAGAAATACTAGTACATTTCAAAAGATTGACTATTATAATGTTGATTGACTAATATTTGATAATGAAAATTGTTTAGAATAAAATACAAATAACTACCTAAATTATAAAAAGACTGACAATTTAATGTTTCCGATACATTCCGAACGATACTTATAGAAATTTCGATGGGCCGTGTGGATTATTGATTTTTTTTTTGCACAGTAAATTATGAAATTTTTGCGAAAATATGATAAAGTGTAAATTTATTTTGAGATTTACCTGTGCACTCACCATTTACACGGGGATGGGCATGTTACTTTTATGGGCATTGCATGGACACTGACTGAACGTCGCACAAACTAATGTCTTTTCGTATACCTAGTTTGTAATAGCTTCTTTTTTTTAAATTTCACATCGCCTAAAGGTCATATGGCCACTTAAAGCTTTACTGGTTGATGAAGACCTAATGTGGGCCCCCGTACATTATTTCAGTCACAATCGGGCATCTGAGTAGAATCCCCGGCGTTCCGTAAGCTAGCTGGATCACAGGAGAAGGGGGGGGGGGGGGCAAATGGATCTTAAAATTGAGCATCATTAAAAAATATATGTGAATTTCCGCTGATTCAGATGTGCACTATCTATAACACCAAATGTTGAAAGAGTAATATGTAAATCATGATCCCACATACATGTGAGAAGTTTTAAGTGAATACCTTCGAATATTTTATGTTCATAAAGACTGTAATTCAGTCAAAATCAGTTTTAAGAGTTATAAGGATGGAGAAATGACCTACATACATGATCCCCAAGACATGTGAATAAGCCCCGCCCCCTGAAGATTTGATAAGACTTGAAGCTGGATATAAAGTTTATGCTAATCGGAGTTATGTTTTTTACACTGCACTTTTACTCAATGAGATCTATTTATCTATAAAGTTTCATGATGATATCTCTTATTGTCAGAGTTATGTCCCTGGTAAAATTCAAAGTGTAAAAATGAACAAAGTGCAATATCTCAAAAATTAGATAAGGCTGTGTTTAGGTTCTTTAGCATTGCAGTTCTATCCAATGATATCTATCTACCAACAAAGTTTCATGTTGATGTCTACTAGTTTTAGATTTATGTCCCGGACAAAAGTCAAAAAGTAAAAATAAACAAAGGGCAATAACTTCAAAATAAGGCAAGGCATTGCACTTCTACCCAATGAGACCTTTCTACCTACAAAGTTTCATGTTGATATCTCTTATAATTTTAGGTAATGTCGCAAGTTCAAGCTGTCAAAATGAATAAAGGGCAAGAACTCTAAAATTAGGCAAGACAGAGTAATGGTTCTTTAACAATGCACATCTACTCAATAAGATCTATCTACCTACAACGTTTCATGTTGATATCTCTTATACTTTTAGAGTTATGTCCTGGACAAAGTTCAAAGTGTAAAAATAATCAAAGGGCAATAATTAAAAAAATAGGTACTGCAGAGTTACGGTTATTGTGCACTGCAAACTACTGAATGAGATCTATCTATCTGCAAAGTTTCATGTTGATAACTCTTACAGTTTTAGAGTTATGTCCCGGACAAAGTTCAAAGTGTAAAAATAAAGGGCAATAATTCAAACATTAGGCAAGGCAGAGTTATGGTTCTTGTGCACTGCACAGTTACTCAATGAGATATATCTACATACAAAGTTTCATGGTGATACCTCTCAAAGTTTAAGAGTTTTGTCACATTTGGACTGACCTTTAACCCTGGGAAGCTAACTGGTGATAATAATAGATTTATGTTACTAGTATAGGGATAGGTCGGCCAAGACTGTTTCTATGTTTTGTTGGGTTTTAGATAACATAAACTTTGTTAATATCAAATAGCTACTATAAAGATTTAGTGGTGGAAGACCACAGGTGCTCTTTGGTGTATATATCTTTACATTATCTGGCACAAGGAAGCACCCCAAATGCGAGAACACGGCAATGAGGGGAAACACGGCAGTGAGGGGCAAGTGACAAGACGTTCGATCCCTACAGAGGGTCCAACTGGGCTCAATACTCTTAGCTACTCAATTACTAAAATTCCTTTTAATTAAAACGTGGACTGTTCCTCATTTAAAACAGGCAAGGCAAGCCTGTAACAATTATAAATTCACAAGATTAAGGGTTAAAAATGTGACACACTGTCAAATATTAACAAGTTTTTAAAAGAAGCTTCCTACTCTAAAACTGACCTATGATAAAATTCCAGAAAGATAACCTTATTTTCATACCAATTCACCATCCTAGATTTCTGAACTGTGTCAATCCTTATTCGTGACCTTAGACAATCAGTCAGTGCAAATCTAAAAATAGAGAAGTGTCCTAAAATTAGGTCAAAATATTTTGATAACATCCGTTACTCTTCATAAATGACTGTAAAAATTTATCAAAATAATTTACTTGTACTGTTTTCATCAAAATATCAAAATTGTCTCCCTTGAAAATTGGTATAACATTAAAAAAAACAAGATTAGTAAAAAAAAAAAACCTCTACCAAGTTTGCCCACTGGATTTGTCCTATTTTTAGCTTGGAACTGTCCAGTCTGAGTTAAAGGGAAGTGTAAAACAATACAATGGATCCAGCTGAATCTGCTCAAAATGCGAGAAGACTTTAAATTGTTAAAATGAAAACAAAAATTATTGGTCTTGCTTAAGAAATTACGTTCCCATCCAAGTGAAAGAAGTATGGGAACTTTTGCATACAGACTTCAGTATTTAAAACAAAAAAGTAAATGAATAATCCAACAAATGTACCACTATGATAAAAAGTCATACTGATAACAAACTTTGATTGTCTACATATGACCAGATATCTTTTTATATACACTGGTTTTTCTCTATACGTCATGGCATTTTTCTTACAGCAACTGTTATGTGGTAATTTACACATACCTTACTATCACATAGGCAAATAAAATTATTATGCTGAAAAAACACATCAAGAACAATTTCAAAACAGTCAAACTACAAAGGAACAACAATGTAACTCAATTATCTAAATATTTGCCATGCTAAATTTGTATAATAGATTATTGGAACCGTCTCTTCTTGCATATCAGACTGGTGTTTTTGTTAGTTCAACCCATGCCGAAAAATTTGGGAGAGGGTTGCCAGACGAGTGGCATGCTGTATATTGGTGTCATTTAAGCGCTTTTAATGAATAAATTGCAGTAAAATGACATAATTTCGGCGTATTTAAGAATGAAAATGCAAGAACTCGTCCATTTACAGCAACTCAGCAAGCCTTGTTACCACTCAATGACGAGTCGCCTTGGGATCTGTACGATCCAAACCGCAAGATATGACAGATATTATTGATAGATCCCTATTCTGACCTTTTATTTAAATAACAGCAGATTTAACCACAAACATGGACATGTGCTCTTTTGTTAACAAAATGTTAAGGTGAAATTCTTATTGTGTCCACTACCTGATTATTAGAATTTGACAGGTAAGGGAACTGTTAATTATTGTAAATGTGAAGAATTATCATATAAACATACATGTACTCTTCATGTAAGGAGCCAAATCTATATCTGGACAAACTACAGTACACAGAAATAAAGTCTAACTTAGTTTTAAATACCTGACATTAGCAGGTCATTTTTGTTGCCATGTTTCAATCAGTTATCTTACTAAAACATCAGTCTCAAAAACTGATCTTTCTATTATTTTTAGCAAAAAGTAACAAATGTAACAAACTTCATTTTACATACATGTTTTATCAATTACTAAATAGAATCTTAGCTATTCAAATGGTATGTAGAATCTTAGCTATTCTAACAGTAAATCCAATGAAAAAAAAAGTTTAAAATTTTCAAAATCATTATTTCTGTATTTTAAATGATAATTAACCTTATGTCACATCATGCACTAGTCCATCGAAACCTTGGCGCTACCATCCCCAGAATATAGCATACATGTATATACACCAGTGGTGGGGTAGCTGGGTATGCAATGTATTTACTGAGAGTCTGAGACTATACTAGAGTCTAAGCTCATAAATTTATATACGAAAATCAAGAAAATGATTGTCACAGTTTGTATAGCATTGTAAAAAAAAACTTTCAATAATCATTTGAGCCTCTAGTCAGCAAACATTTCAAAAAGATCTAATGAAAATCATAAATGCAGGTGAATGTTTCAATATGTATTAACATAAAGAATAATTAATATGTAAATTTAATATGTATTTGTTCAAAGAAAAAAAAAACAACAACTTGGCTAAATGCACAAAATGAAATAGAATGACCTCAAAAGCGTTTATAATAACTCTTAAGTTTTTGCCAAATCTTATTTTAAGAATGTTGAACATAAAATAAAAACTTAAAAGGTATACTTATCTTAAAGGGACATTATTCAATAAACTTTTTAAACAACAGTAAAAGAAGGAAGTGAGCTACATCCCTTCATATCTTATTTTAAAACCAAAAGAGGAAGTAAAATTGCAAAATTTCCACCTACTTAAGAAATATTTTATCTTGATTATTTTTACGAAATCTTATTAAATCTAACATCAAAAGTAAGTTTGAAACTTAATTTTGTATACATAATTTCTCATTTATGTTGGATGAATATTTTTATTATAATAACAAATTTATTTTTTCTTGCAATATTTCAGAGAGTGTTTTTAATTTTAGGCTCTTATATTTGTCAATGAAAAAACATATGTACATAAATGAATTCTGTATTTCAATTATATAAAAATGTACATAATAAAATATTATAATTATTATCATGTATTATTGAAAATATTTTGAGGTGTTACATATACATAAAAGGGACATAATTTAAATAACATCAGAAAGAGGAAGTGAGTTCATAATTTCCCTTTATGTATATTCAAAGCCCGAAGAGGCAGTAAAAATGCAAAATGTCCACCTATCCGGTCAAATGAATAGAAAATTATTTTCTCTTGATTATTTTCAAAAATATTGTTAAGATCAACATTCCAAGTAGGTTTAAAACTTGGTTTCATGTACACAATTTAACATTTATATTGACTGAATTATGTAAGAAAGGGTTACATGAATATTTGAATGAGTGTTAAATTTCAGTTAAATTTCTTACATCAAAATTTTGAAAACAATTATTCAAATTTACATAATACAAGAAAAATACCACATTTTTTACCCAAATAGAGAAAAAAGTATTTCTGATAAATTGATATGTATCCCAAATTTATCTTATGTTCTCTTATGTCCAGACTGGCTCTCCTGTTCTGTTCTGTTGTAGGACATAAATGACAAGTAGAAAAAATAAAATTAAATTGGTGACTGAAGCAATTTTCCTTTTTACTAATATATTACAGAATGTTTCAAGAACCTGAATACAGAGAATATATATCATTGATGTTATCAGAGGTTTTAGATGACATTGGTGTCAATGAAAGATTGGTGATGAGAAGGAGAAGAACATACATGCTGAGAGAGACTATTGATAATATCAGTAACAGGTTAACTGATACACATATAACTACCTATTATCTAATGAGTCAGAGTGAAGGTACCACTACTATAGGACTTAAATCAGACCTTGATCGTCTAGCTTGTGTTCATGATTACAATATAATACAAGACTGGTCAGAGTGGAAACATGGTAAGGAAAACTACCTCATGATACAGGATGAGAACACTACATCTGGTTATTGTTTCTTACAAAGTCTCAGAGATGATGAACCTCTTCCTCTTACTGTCATTCCTGATGAAGACCATATTACTGATAGAAGAGGAAGAATATTGCTTAAAAACACAATTATAAATGATTTGCTTGAAGGTGCTGGTCAGCAGCATGGACCATCTATTGCTCAACAAGGACAACTTGGATTCTGTGATCAAGACAAAGTTATTGCTTATCCATTTAAATCATGGCCTCAGTCAGCATCAGGTTGGTTAGATTGACAAGGTATTGGCAGATGGCCAACACAAGAAATGAGAAGATATGCAGCCAGTACTGGGTGTTTTGTTGTTGCAACTGGAAGTAAGGTCAGTGAATATCCTGAACTGGAATGGAGAATATCTACATCATTGGCAGAAAGATGTCTTATTTTCAGTTTAAATATAACACAATTAAGGTGTTATGTGTTATTGAAAATGATTCTTAAGTCCTTCCTTAATCTTGAAGTGGAAGATAAATTCAATATATCAAGTTTCATGTGTAAAACAGTTCTATTGGATTGTATCGAAAACACAGAATCAAGTATATGGAAAGATAACAATTTATTTACATGTTTAACATACTGCTTATTGGAATTACACGGTTGTGTACAGAATGACTATTGTTCACATTTCATTATACCAGAAAATAATTTGATGGCAGGGCAATTTACAGCTGAGACAAAACATGAACTTTCAAAAAATATTTGTCAACTTATACAGAATGATAGTCATCAGTTACTAAGTATTGATATTGATCATATTGGCCATAGACTTCAAGTTAAACTGAACAGGATACCACATGGCCTTTACTTTTTTCCATCTCCTCTTGAAATATATGAAGAAGTTCTGACCTGACACTACATAAACATTGCAGAAGACATTAGTTTCTTCCATCAGCTTGTTTTAAAAGATTTACACAATGAAAACATTAGAACAATGAAAAAACATATAGTTAAATTGAAGAACTTCAGTGATAATGGTAACAGATTAGAACAGGTTGCAGTCAAGCTTCTAGCACCTTTTCTTTTTACCACATATGGATCTATCCTAGCATCATCATCAGACATTGGTGATAATCAAATCTCACCTGAATCATTGGTTTGGCTATCAGCTGGTTTAAACTCAGATATCTCATCTAGCAGACTTAAATTGGCCTCAGTGTTCTACAATACAGGAGATATGGAGAAAGCTGAACTAGTTCTGAGACACATTGAAAAACAATATTTCTCTCATCCTGTTTTACCTATCTGTAGCTGCTGGGAGAATCCTACATCAGCAGTAACAGCATAATTCAAGAGGGTATGTGGTGAGCAAAGTGAGGACTGTATCAAACATATTACAGCATTTTGTGTCAAATTTATACTGAAAGAGATGAATTGTATTCCTCATGAACTAAAATATGAAATGTTCATGATACACAGAGATAACGATGAAGACTGTTGGATGGACTGGGCTGTAGTTGATTCTCTACCTCTTCTGTACTTCCTACAATATAAGATCTACAGTCGTTTACAAAGACATCAAGATCAACAACAAGCACTTAATAAACTTATAAGAACCATAGTAACTGATAAAAACCTTGGACATAGAGAAACAGCTCTAAACATCTTAGGACAATGTATGGAACAAGAAAACAGACCTCAGCAGGCATTAAGATGCTACCTGCTTTCTCTACAACAAAGGACAAGAAACAATGCAGCAAACTTCCACATAAGTAAGCTCCTTTCTGGCTTAATGGTAAGCCAATAAAATAGGATCAGAAGATAAGAAAGTATAAAGACTTTAGTGTTCAATTATCATATTCTGCATGTATGTATGAAAGTGATTCAAATGCCAAAACATAAGCGTGAAATCATTCTTTTTATTACATATTAATTATGAAATACCATTGAACATGTTAAATTGAAAGAATAAATCCAGGTTCAATGAATATCTGATTTTACATTTGAATAAAAAGAGCCTATTGTGGAAAGAACCAGTATTGCTCATGAAAATAAATTTTAAATTTTGGTTTATAAGGTGAAGTTTTTACCAAGCTTTTTCATACAGTAGTCAAAACAGTTTAAGAGCTGTCACCTATAGTCTTCTATTGTTGAAAATAATTTGTAATTAAAAGTCTTGTTTTTATATATGTACCATGTTGTTTTTATATATGTACCATGTATATACATGAATACTCTTGTTCTTATTTATTGTATGTCCCCTGTATATATAGTCTTGTTCTTATTCAATATATCAATAAGAATAATGGAATGGTCAACTGCTTAATGTGCAAAAAAAAACAAGAAGAACATCATGTTGAAAAAATACAATTATATTAATTCAAAATTTGACCTTGATGGTCAAGGTCATTGAAAGGGCAAGGTCATAATTAAATTACTTAAAAGTCAGATTGGTCATAAATGCTCTTTTGTCCAAGTATAAATCAAATTCATAAATGAATGAGAAAGATATGGCCCATTTAAAAAATTCACTTATTTAGCATTAAGTGTTAAGGTCAAATTAAGGTCAAGGTCAATTTTAATTAAATCTTCTTTAAGGAATTGTCCCAAGGATTGTTAACCGAAGTATGGAGACAATCCATTTTTATTATAAACGTAACAGGGAATTATGGCAGAAAAAAACCCTGTGAAATAACAATAATTTGACCTTTAAAGTAAAGGTCATTTATGAGTCAAGATCAAATTCAATATTTCTCGGAATGTAGTTTTACTGAAGTATTAAGACATTCTGTTTATTTGTAACAAAGTTTAAGCCAATTATAGCAATGTCAAGCAAAATTCAATAGTTTGACTTTACCACCAAAGTCATTGATGAGTGAAGGTGTTAAACAATTTAGTCTTCTTAATGCTCTTATCCAAAGGATTGTTATGGCATAGAATAAAGACAATCCAAACATAAATGACAAAGTTGCAGCCAATTATAGCCAAAATCAAGCAAAATTCAAACATTTGACCTTGAAGGTCAAGATCATATATGAGTCAAAGTCATGTTCAGTCTAGTTTACGTGAACATCTTGTCCATGCAAGGGGTTGTTGTTTCAAAGTATGAAGACTGTCATTAAGTTTGTTACCTGACTGTTCATAATCTCATTCTGCTTCCTATTTCTGCAAGGTCATTTCAATTTCATTCCATCTATTCAAAAGATACAACATTAGTAACAAAAGGAAACCCAGATGCATAACATTATACACATAAATCCTTTTGGAGGGTAAAAATCTCATTGAGCAGCCAAAGAACCATATACCACACTACTGTTATGAATGGATGTATCATTTCCATTTGATGTCAGTGATATTCAGTTTATATTTCATTGTGAACTTTCGAATTTTTAATAGAATACATTTTTTTAATATAATACAATGTATTATATAATTATGAAAATACATACTTCAGCAACTTACCATGGAAAAAGCCATTTTTCTTGTTATCTCAGAGAAGTCACTGTTACGATCGTTGACCTGTGACTGACCCTCAGTAAATGAGCACAAAGCACATAGATGAAGAATGTAAGAGAAAACGTATTCCTACGCCACATTTGTTCCCCCGCAGCACCATCAAGACCAGTTTTCACAGTATCTATAGCAACGTCTCTAGATAAAAAGTAATCCATCAAATTAATTCCACAAATTGGACAACATATCTTTCATAATTAGATCACTAAACTGGAGCAACAACATTGTTTTCTTGTTTATTCATCGATACACATTGAGAATTCTTACATTGAAAGATTATATTAAATTTCTACAAAACAAGTTGCTGACGGAATATACAGGAGAATATAGCCTGAATGATATGTCCCATAGCTGATGGGAAAACTTTGCAATTAAAAGTCATCATAACAAAGTAACTTTTAACTTTTTCTTATAAGTTACTGTCATTTGAATTAAGAAATATATCAAAAGGATCAAAACACAAAGATAAAGATCATGCTCACACATAGTTACCGGTATAGTATATACATCATAGTATACAAAGTACTGAATCCATTCAAATTCAAGAAATCTTTACTTTGCATTATCATAATAGTTATAATACTGTATTGAATTTTTATATAATTAGATATTGAATTTTTATATAATTAGATCAAATGTAAACGGCAGATTTGGAAACAGTTTACTTTCAATAAATTGAAATCTCCTTACTTAAAATTCCGTGTCAGTCGAAAAATTGCTAAAGTCCCGTCAAATTTCCTTCTTTATCTTTGTATTTTAACTTCGCTTAGGTCAAATTTTGACTTACTGAGACTCCTGTTTAGTCGAGAGGAGATTTCTGGTCCCGTCAATTAAAGTCCAACATATTTTAATCTCAAAAAAAAAAGAATAAAAAAAAAGTTGAAGCGAATACTCAAAGGCAGCGACATCAAGGTAAATGTTGTCACTCTGGTTCACAAATTTCAATTTCATTGCAATGTTCAATATTCAGTAAAAATTGTTTTTGAAATTTTACCCCTTCAAAAAGATTAATGGTTTTATCCAACATGAAAGATGGATTTGTCTATTTAAGATGTGTAGGGTGGTGAGGGTTCAGTTGTAAAACATTTAAATGTTTCTGTTAAATAGCCTCCCCCATTGACAAGCTTAATTATTAGAATGAGTCTGATTCAGCAAAAAAAAAAAATGTGTGTAATTATTAAATTTTGAATACTTACAGCTGAAAAAAGAATGAAGATCAGTCGCAATGTTTTTGTACCGCATATTGTTGCCTTGTTGCTGTCCGACCCTTGAACACAGAGTTATGACCATTGATTATGCATATTAAGCAATAATCGTTTCCTCGCTATTTCTATGCAACTACTTGCAGGAATTCAAGGAAACTTGATGGGAACCTTAAATACCAAAAGGAGATGGGCATATCTACGCATTGTTCCAGTCCAGCCGTTCAGCTCAGTGTTATGGCCCTTGATTAGTTGTGCAGTATGCATATAGAGCAATAATAGTTTCTGCACTACTTCTCTGCAACTACTCGCTTGAATTAAATGAAACTTTATGGAAAACATCAATATCAAGATGAGATGCGCATAGAGTTGTATTGTTCCGGTTCGATCTTTTAACACAGAGTTATGGCCCTTAATTAATTTACTGTATACATATAGAGTAATGATCATTTCTCTGCTACTTCTGTGAAACTACGGACTTGAATGAACCCTTATTGGAACCATCAATACCAAGAAGATGTGCACATATTGTCGCCTTGTTCTAGTCTGACACTTCAACACAGAGTTATGGCCCTTAATAAGTTATGCAGTATGCATATAGAGCACAAATCGTTTCCAAGCTATTTCTCTGCAACTACTGGCAGGAATTCAATGAAACTTCATGGGAACCATCATTACCAAGAGGAGATGAGCATAATGTATTGCTGCCTTACTCCAGTCCGACCCTTCATCACAGAGGTATGGCCCTTAATTAGTTATGCAGTATGCATATATAGAAATAATGGTTTCAGCACTACTTCTCTGCAACTACTGGCTGGAATTCAATGAAACCTTATTGGAACCATCAATACCAAAAGGAGATGCCAGATCTTCGCCTTGTTTCAGTCAGACCCTTCAACACAGAGTTATGGCCCTTGATAAGTTATGCAGTATGTATATAGAGCAATAATCAATTTTGTGCTTCTTCTCTGCAGCTACAAGCAGGAATTCAACATTACGTTATGGGAACCATAAGTACCAAGATTAAATGCGCAATATCGTTAACTTGTTCCGGTCAGACCCTTCAACATAGAATTATGGCCCTTGGTTAGTTATGCAGTATGTATATATGGCAATAATTGTTTTCGTGCAATTTCTCTGCTAAAACTGGCAGGAATTCAAAGAAATTTTATGGTGACCATCAATACCAAGAGGAAATGTGCATGATGTTGCTATGCTCAAGTCAGACCCTTCATCACAGAGTAATGGCCCTTAATTAGTTATGCAGTATGCAAATAGAGCAGTTATCATTTCCACACTATCTTTCTGCAACCACTGGCAGAAATTCAATGAAACAATGGGAACCATCGATACCAAGAGGAATTGCGCAAATTATTGCCTTGTTCCGATCACATAGAACAATATGCATACATATGAACTCTCCCACTTTTAGCGGGAGATTCCCAGTCTCTGCAGCCATATTTTCAAAGATTTTTCTTGAAATAAGGGATATTGTCACAAATTAAAGAAATTGTTCTATTTTTTATGTCAGACCTTCCTTCTTTGTTTATTGCAAATTCTAAAAACTACCTCTTTTTGAAGGAAAATCTCCCACTTGATCCATCTTAGAGTTAGAGTTATGGGCCTCGGTCAATGACCTCCTATTATGCTTTCAAGTAAGCCCCATTCCCTCTGTAGTTTTTGAGATACCATTAAATTGCACCCAAAAACGTAACCACAGTATGAAGCAGATACCTTGTTGAGCACAATACCTCTCCTATTCTTCAAATAGTCAAGCTAAACATGCAAAAATATTTCCCCTACAAAATTTTTAATTAAAATTTTATAATGTAATTTGATTTTACAAATGAAATCTCTTAAAATTCCCCTTACCCAAAATTTGCCCCTGTGTACAGTTTCCCAAAAAGATTTGACCATTTTAAATATTAACCACATGTCCTCATCAAGAATCTGGAAAAAAACACAACAATTCAATTTGGTTACATTGAATGGCAAACAGCTGAAGCCTTGCAAGTTAGGAAAATTATCCATGCCAAAGGTATGGCAAGATCTGTCGGCATATCATTTTGTAAGGGTGCTTAACACTTTTATTATCCTTTAAGTTCAAAATACTTGTGCTAAAGATAAACATGTCTGTCATAAGAATAAAGGTAAAGCCAGTCTGCGCAATATTCTGGGCAGTCTGACCAAATTTTATTCTGTTTTGCTGCATTTAAGATTCATATAAAAATGTAAAAAAAGTAACTATAACTATTAACCTCACTATGATTATATCTCCAAATTCTGAGAAAGTCCCCACTATTTTTATCCACCAGGTCATCATGAAATTCACCTTTTTCAGAGGATATAATAACTGTGGCATCTTGTGGTCCCTGTACAGATAAAACCTCCTCAAACACCTGGTCCCTTTCTCTCTCCTTAACAGACATCACTGGTCTGAAATAATGATTATAGCATAATGGTAGATCTGAAATAACTTATATGAAGTAATGTTAAAATTATGGCCATAAAAAACCTGAAACGATGGTAAAGCCTTG